GGCGGTTTTCGCCAGAAACAGGAAGTAAAAACTGAAACGAGAACTGGAATCAACCCAGTCGCCCGCTGCCGGTCAGCGGGCGAGGAGCCCACGAGCAGCTCCTGGGACGGGAAGCGTCCTGAAGAGGCCACCCCCGGCTCCGCCACCGCCACCGACCTCGGGACACTGGGGAGACGCTCTGAGAAGTGTGCCGAGACGGGGCCAGGACGCTGAGCACGGCAAACAAATGAGATGAAAACAGGCTTTCTGATATTGGAGTCCCCAAGGGCCACCAGAACCTGACCAGGCGGCCGTCATTTCCATCTCGTGTCTGAGAATGACAGAAAGGCCTGTCTCCAGAGGCCACCTGCCCTTCTGAGGGAAAGGCCCTTGGCGGAAGGACACAGGTCACACAGGTCACTGCCTGGCTTTTCCCCCAACACTGCAGACACCCAGAGACAGCATTTTGTGGGGTTCCAGGTTTTTAATTTTCCCTGTTATTTTTTTTTTTAAACAATCAAATTGGCAGAAAAATGTCTGGGGCTGGTGGGCACTGGGGGGGTCCATTGAAAACCCCCAAATTCAGGCTGAGGTTTTAGGTCACGGTCGCCGAGGTGAGGTCAGGCCTCGTAGAGACCTCCCAATGCACCGGAGAACTTGGTCTCCAAATGGCTGGGGCGGGGAGTCCGACGAGGTCCCCGATTCCTACAGATGAGGAGACGTCCTCGCCACCCCCCCAAGTTCTTCAGGATGTGGAGGCAGAAGGCTGCAATTTCTAATTGCCTACAATCTTCTCTTAAAAATATAAAACACGTGCAGTTGGCTTTGGTACAAAAAAGAAAAAAAAAAAAAACAAAAGACATTCTGGTCCCTGCGGCCACCCCCCAACCCCGGCCTCTTGGGCCGCCTCAGCCTCTGCCCCCACGACTCCAGGGAGCCAGATCATCCCTCTCGGATTCCACGGAGGATGGAGTAGGCAGAGCAGCAATCAGAGGCTGACGGGAGAGGGAGGGGGACGTGGCCCTTTCAGGAGGAAGAGTCAAGTCCCACAGCTGCGGCCTCTCCTCAGAGTCGGCGTTGCAGGCGGTGGCATCAGGGCCGGAACCCAGCAGCGGCATGGTGAAGCCTGAACGAACCCCAGTAGTGTGAAAGGACAAGGCCCCCTGATCCCTATGGCTTGGTTCCCATGTCCCTGGTCCTCTAAACCTCCCCGCTCCCTCCATAACTAATAAACAATAAATAAATAAATTTTCCTAAAGTCAAGGGGAGAAGGCATGAAAAATTGGCATCTGTGGTATAGCATCCGGATGCCACCAGGGGGCACTGTGGCCCAGTCCCCCGGCTTCCTAAATGGCCCCAGGTATCCAAGGATCCCAAGAGCTGGCAAGGACAATCAGCAGTTCTTTCCGAAGCTCCCTGGTCATTGGCAGGTCGGAGTCCCCAAGGTTTGCCTCCCTCAGTTTTTCAAGGGGGACAGGAAGGGGTGGGGTCCCCTTAGCTCTCTGGAGCTACAGGCTCCCCATCGCGGCTCTCGGTCTCCTCTGGGATGTCCTGCATCCTGGTGAAATCTGGGGGGACAGGGCAAAGTTAGTGAGCCACTGCACCCCAGACCGATGCCTCCTCACTTGCAGGCCGTGAGGGACGGGGGTTTGAGTACCTGCCACTCTCAAGAAAAACCTCCCAGAGTAAGTAACGTGCCCATACCCAGAACTGTACACACTCTCCAAGTACACGAAGTTGATTAATGAGGTATAAAGTATCTCAAGACTACGATATGAAGTCACAGCTACTTTTGGTTATTCTGTATTTCCTGAACCAACTGAAAGACCTGGAATGTCTTTGACCTATTTTAACTTTAAACAGAATCTGTTTCTACTTGAAAAGGTTGGGAATCACCCAGCAGGTGTGTCCCCTGCTTTTTAGAGTGTCACCAACAGACGAAACAGGAAGTCCTTTGTGTCCCTCCCAAGAGTTACCGTAGACCTCAGTGGTCAGTTAGGGACCGTTACCGTGGACCTCAGTGGTCAGTTAGGGACCTTTCTATGTGGTCCTGTGCTCACGCGGAAACCACAGCCTGGGATTCTGAACCCAGGCGGCAACCCTCAGCCACCCACGTCTCTCCCAGGTCTCACCTCGTGGACTGTGGGGTGGAGACAGACGGCTGCTGACGTCCTCTTCGCTGCCGGTGTCGGGGTCACTGCTGTCCTGCAGCCGCTCCTCAGGGCTGCCCAGCTCCTGCCTCTCTCGGTCCTCGAAGGGCCGATGGATGGAGCGAAGGGTCACGGGCAAATCCAGGCGGTCATGGCCTCGGCTGGGCTGTGGATGGCGGCAGGAAGAGCCGCGGGCCAGGGAATGAGCAGTGTCCGGAGGGCAAGCCCTGCCTAGCGGGGGCGGGGGGCCCGCTGGGCCCCAGGACCGACTCTGCAGACGCCCACAGACCTCTCCCTGCGCCCACTGAGCTCTGCCGTT